TAGTGTAGGCAACATGGGCTCCCACGTGGTCGAATAGTGGTATCACCTTAAACATCAAGCTTACTCAGAACAAACACAGAATTTCCTCTTACCGAACGTGGAGAGGCGACTGTAACGCATTGGCAGTTGTTCGCCCAAAATTTTTGGTGTAGGCAACACGAGATCGACAAGTGGTATTATATCGTGAATGTCATGCTTTAATGAAATATTAAAAATTACAGAAGTCGCAATTGTTAGCACTAACATACCTTACCTTAATTCTACCTTGTATGTCAATGAATTAGCTCTACCGAACATGTTTCGAAAAAGATACTGAATCAAGTAACGTCATTCATTTATAGAAATTGAAAGAGGAACTGTTTTTTCGAAAAAGACGACTTCAATGAAAAGTACCTTGACACGTTGGGTTTTTTTGGATCCTTTGTCCCCCCTTGTGGGGTGACTGCGAGCTGAGTAGCTTTTAATTTTTTTTTTTTTTTTTTTTTTTTTTGAGACTCCCCTACTTCCGAACTAACCGCAGGATGAAAATGTATTTTCCATAGACAATTGATTAACCCGCATCGCATGGACTCGCCTAGTCAATCGAATGGGAGCGAGCCACGCTCTTTTTCACCTGCTCCTAGTTCGTTCTGCCGTACTAAGCAAGAACGCCGTATGAACCTTCAGACGTTGCTGAATTTCCTCTGATAACGTAAAAACTTGTGAGTAGTTTTCTTCGAAATTTTTCAGAGAATTTTATTCCCAATTTAACCTGGATTGTCTAGAAATTGGAAGGAAAAATACCCATAAATTTTCTCGAAAATAAACTTTTTATGGGGGGGGGGGATTTTAGCAACGCTCGAATGCCTACACGGGGTTTTCCTTTATCGCGGCATTTTTTAAATGCTTCAGAGTGACCTTGATCGATAAAGATCTTTGCTGAGATGTGGATTTATCGATTGAGGAATTTGTATTTCTTAACCGTAAAAAACGTATTCACAAGTTTTTCTCACCTCTCGTGACAACGCTGTTAGATTTTATCGTGTGATCTTTTGAAGTGCGGAGCGGCAGGCAGCATGCAGGAACGCAGGAACCCAAATAATTGCTGGGAGCAAGAGCTTCGATGACCTTTTCACCAGGTTCTCCTCTCGAACCCCCAGCCCTTCCCAATCTCCCAATCCGCCCTTATCCACCGCGTCGTCCCGTTTAATCATAAAAAGAAAGAGAGAAGGAGCTCAACAATCACAGTACTTAATGAAACAGAAGGGGGAGGATATTCCATAGAAACTGAGGTATAATTTAAAGCCACCTTGTAAAGGGCAAAGCGCCCATGGCATGACCCACCCCCTTTCTCTAAACAGTTCTAATTATGTCCCTTTACGCCAGATCTATCCCCAGGTTTTTTTTATTTATCGATCTTCAAATTTTATCCTTTCGCTTCGAAACCATGCATTATTGTGCTTCATAAAAGCCAGGACTAGTACATAAGTATCACTGTGTAAAGCTAACTGATTGAGGAACTATTTACGGAGCTTATACTATTTTGGTGGATAAAATTATAGGGATCTTAGGTAGGGAAGAGGTGCAACACACATATGAATTGAGGCTCTTTCCAAAAATTCATAAGGCGAATTATGGGAAATATATCACCCAATAATCTCATATAAAATGGGTGAAAGAAAAGTCCCAAGGGAAGTAGGAAAGCGAAAGAAAAAACTTTTTGATAATGAATACCTACCAACAATCCAGGGAGTAGATAGGGCGATCCAATACTACGCCAACAGTGAAAATCGTAACCGACATGGAGCAACAATTTGGTAGGTTGAGGATAGTCGGTTTCCATGTTTTTTATGATACTGATGCTGAATAAGGATTCATATCGAATTCAGAATACTAACTGTTTGAAAATCTGTGTCTAGATATGAAACCTAGCAATTTTTCGTGTGAGTTTACGATACAAATTTCAACGCTAAGTCAATCAGCGTAAAAACTCCAATAAGATCCCATGTTGTTGAGATTATGACGAAAACAGCAATTGGGCAGTACCACTCCCCGCCCGCCTATCAAACGACCGCTCCATGTGTGATACGTTTTTTCGCACGCCACTAGTTATCGTCGTTATCTACTCAAAAAATTTGGATTGTAACACGGAGAATTCTTTACACAGCTACAATATTTAATCAACCATCCCTATTTAGGGGTTTGTAGAGTTTTTGTTTCGAAAACGTAAGATTTTTAAGAGTGTATTTTAAAAATCGTCGTTATGCTAGGGACCTGGTTTGATAATTGCGCCATCGATGTATAGGAAAGTACAGGCAGGAAAGGACAGAGCAACGTGTGGGATGGCGTGGAGGTCCCGAACAATAGCTCGGGGCGCTTTGAGAGAATAAAGTGAAAAACAAACACCTCTCAAGAAGGATCCGAAATAAATTTAGCCGCCGGCTTAGTATGGCGTTCGCTGCTGAGGACAGCTCATAATTTTGTCCACCCTTGCTCTTAAATAGGTTTGCAAGTGGATGCTGATGCTTACTTCAGTCTCATATTGAAAGATCTATGGAAGCCGTCGCGACTGATTTGGCTGCCGCTCAGAAAACTTGACCCGCTCCGCGCCCCGCAGAGGAACATGGCCCTCAATGAGACGGGCACCGGAGAAAATATTCGTATTTAAATTTCGGTATGGGACTCGAATATAGTGTGTTCTCACACGACTGAGGGCTCGTGTTGTAATACACCAAGACAGCATTTTTCCCCCCAACGCTATCCAGATGAATTCGATCCTCTTTCCCATCGCGCAATTGAATCAAGCACAGCCCTAGTTCACGCGAGGTTAAGAGTTGTTCGTGAGCGGAACTAGGAATTTTTTTTTTTGGGGGGGGGGGG